AAGAATTCTTTTTTGAAACAAGAATAAAAAAGAAATCTGACTTAATTTTTTTTTCTCAAGTAAAGAAATTTACTTAGGGAAAAATCTTTAGTTTTCCTAAGCTCCACTCTCATTACTTTGATATTGAGTGGGTCGGATTGTCAACATTTGCGGCTTATTGCATTTGGACGGAAAGTTCTACAAAAACAAAAATAAAAAAAAATATTGATTATGAATTCACTGCATACAGTTAAATCTCAGACGGAAAACATCGCCATTTTATTGTGAATTCACTGCACGAAGTTAAGTAAATCAGCATATATACTTAATATAAATGGAAGACTGTAGTTTTCATAGTCAGGTATCTATTATATTGTAGCTTTGTTTTAAGTTAAAAGTTTCAAGTATAATTCAGATTTATTTGTGTAAAAGGAGTACTTTTTATTTTTCAAAGGTAAATTTTAAAGGGTACGTTTATTTGCATCGTATTGGTATCGTATTTTGTTTAATACGATACTCAAATAAAATTTTGGTAGTTACGTATTAACGGTATCTTGGCGACAGATTTGGCGGTTTTTAAGTGTCGCCAAACTAACAGCTACAGATTTGGCGGTTTTTAAGTGGCGCCAATATAACAACTGCAGATTTGCTGAGTTTTTACGCAATTTTGTAGTGCTACGAAAATGCGTATTTGGGATTTGCCAGAAACAGAACAAGATGCAATTTTATTTTTTCAGGCGCGAAATATTTTACCAAAACAACGAAAATGTCCCACTTCCCATGACATGAAATTTTATTTTGGTGAACTTAAGTTTTGGAAATGCAATTTCAGTCAGTGTGTTTATCGTGTGGGACTTAGAAAACTCCGTTTGACTACTTTGTGTTTAAATAAAGTGTTTTTGACTAATTTGTGTTTAAATAAAGTGTTTTGAATTTTGAAATCATTTTAATTTTAAATGAAATGTTTCATATATATTTTATTATTTGGAACAAAAATTTTAAGTGTAGATTGGCGCCATTGAAAAACCGCCATATTTGTAGCTGCGGTTGGCGCGTGTGCTCTTTATTGGCGCAACTGTCGCCAAGGTACCGTTAATACGTAAGTACCAAAATTTTATTTAAAGATATTAGTACATAAATTGGTATTTAAAATAAAAAATAACGTTTGTTAAAATACACTCAGGTTAGCTATGGTGAGACATCTGAATGATAAAAATATGTTTGCATATGAAAATGTTCACATGAATAATTTATTTTGTATGGTACTTCTAAAAAATATCACATTTGAAATAATGGTTGAAATCTAGAATACTGTACATTTGAGGAAGTCGCCAATCTTGCAACCCGGAATACTTCTCCAATTTCCTTAGGGTTACAAGGATGTAATGTACTGTTAGTTGTTTGATAGGCAGCATGTGCTCCAGCAGAGCGTCAGGGATTTAACTGTGAATCACCCTCAATATCGTGATAGTTTTACATTACAACAGTTGATAATTTGGCAACATTTGTTTATTTGGCACAAGATGCGTTTAACTAAAATAAAAGTTTCTAAATTTTTCACCTTTCAGTGAGATATTTTTGGCAAATTTTATACTGAATTAAAGTTAAGAAAAATGTTGTAAAAAAAAATTAAAATTATCAAATATTTCATTCTATAAATAATACATTCTAAAACCTTTTCAAAAAGGCATTCTAAATTTCACTATTTAGCGGAATAGATAGAAATTCTGTAGCCAAATATCATTAGGGACCTAAAATGAAACTGTATGCTATAATTTAATAAAATTAAAAATAAATATCAGGAACGATAAATATTACTTTACAATATCAAATTTGTATAAAATATATAATAACATTTTACTTTTAATTATTTATATCGCCGTCTTTTAACTTTTCCAATAGCGAAATACTTTACAAATCTTAGAATTTGTAAGAAGCGTTTTACTTAGTTCATAATATAGATATATTTAATTACTCAGAAAATAATATAAAGTATTAAATTGTAATTCAAAGATTATTATGCTTTAAAGCATATTTTTAAATGCTTATTATTATTATTTTATAGTCAATGTATAATAGTATAAAATTATATCTATTTATTAATTCTGATTCATTAATTTATTTTGAATCTTTAATGTAATTTATTCATTTTAAAACTATTAAAATTACTTAATAGCAAGATTCTCTCTTGTAACTGTGACAATAACCGTAATAAATTCCTTTAGAAAAAGGGAAATTTAAAATTCCATTAAAAAGGCATTACATATAATGTTCTAGTTTTTTAATATATAAATTAATATTGATACGAAAAAAAAAATATATTTTTTATTTCCTTTTAAAAAATATAGCTTCATTAGAGCAGAGAATGAAATTTACTTCTGTCTGGAAGGAAATTAAATTTTTCCAAATTTCTTGAAGTAAAAATTAAGAAAAAGAGAATTCGGCAGAAAAAAAAGCAAATTACACTAACACAGTTAACAAATTTGAGACACGTAGGCGTCATTAATTTCAAAAGGAAATGCGTTTAATTTAATTTTCGGTAGAAAATCTTAAATACATGAAAATATTTCTTAGAAAATTGGAAAGAAAAGTGTTTTTTTTCCATAAAACAAAAACGAAAAACAATTTACCATTTAATTTAATCTATTTCTCCCATTTTTCAGGGTTTCGTTCTTTATTTTGAGCTTTAAATATATCGTTTAAATTCAATAAGTTTATTATTATTTTAATCCTTACAAATTTGCGTCATACAGTTACAGTTACGTATTTTTATTCTTGTTTATTTATTTATATTTTTTTTGCAATTTGGATGAATTAAAAAGAGGCCAATCTTTCTTTGTTTATCCTACTGCATTTATTGTACATAAATTATTCTAAGACTATTTGATTTCAGCAAAGGAAATTAATCAACTCGAACTGCTACTGTAATTAAGATGAAGGAACAAAAAAATAAAAACAAAAATGAGATATCGCGCTTCCAAGTTCATTATACGAAATGTTCTTAAGAATAAGAATTCTATGAATATTATTTGGAATAAAGTAAGTAACCGGCAGTGTATTCCTTTGTGAAAATAATTAATATAATAAACAATCCTTTGTAATTATGTCAGAATTTTTTTCTAGAAATTTACGAAAGGCTTTCTAACCTGGCAGAAATTGGAACAAATTACTCAGCGAAGGAGATTAAAAACGTACCCTAATTGCAACTAATATTGTTTCTTTAAATGGTTCCATTTATCTTTATTTCCATGAAGTAAGAATTTCTTTGTTTATTTGGTTAGGCTATTAAGTTACGATACTATTATACAGTTTGTTCCAGAAATTTCTCTTAAATGAGAACAGTTATTAAATGAGATTTGCTTCTATGCTCAAATATTAAGATGTTGTATCAGACAATGCGACAAAATTGCAAAATAGGGCCATTGGGAACTGGCGTCAAAACTTCTTTTCGCTAAATTGCGCCAAGAAAACGGCTGTGATTGTAAGTGAACTGAATTGCTAGTAATTAAAGAAACCACATTTGGCGACTTATCGCTCAGTTGGCGCCACAAAAAATCTAAAGACTCAATGTCTCCTATTTTGCTATGTGACTGACAATACTTTAAATGATTATACAATATTATCAGCCGACAAAGAATTCAATTCCTGTATATAAACAAAGATTAAACTGGTTACATTAAATTTAATAAAAACTTAAAAAATTTTATTTTGTGGTTGAAATAAGTTTATTTATTACATAATTCTTACTGTATTAATATATTTATTATTTACTTTCTAAATCATATTCTTTTTTTATTATTATAATTTATTTATTACAAAAATTATAAATTTCTGCATTAATAAATGTTTATTTATTTATAATCTAAATCCATAATTTTTTTTGTCTATAATTTTTACTGTCATTTTTCAAAATATCAGGAAAACCTTTTTATAATAAAATTTTAAAATTACAGTTTTAATAATTACATTTGCAGATTTTAAAATATAATTTTTTGTGTTCCTTTTTTATTACAGTAACAAAAATAATTTTTAAATGATAATTTTTAGTCAAAGTGTTAAATTTTTTTTTCTTTTGTACGTATTTCTAAATAAAAAGGAAAAAATGTAATTTTATTCATTTCATTCATTCATTTATTTAGTTTTATTCATTCAAATTTTATTCTTTACAATGAATAATTTTTCCAAAGATATATAATGATAACATCAATTATATATTGCATATTGCAATGAAATCAGCAAGCTATAAAATAATTTAATTATGACTAACATTTTGATTATAACAAAAAATATTTTGGAAAAAACTGCTTAGGTAAATTATAATAAAAATAAGTATTTAAGTAATTAGTATTAGTAATTAATCTATGTGTGTTATATAGTATCAATATTAAGTTTTATATCTAAAGAATATAAAATATAATAATAATGTGCTACATATTCTCCTATTACGAATATTCATAATAAGCTATACAAATTAATAATTTGAATAATTTTCTTAGTTACAAATAATTTTTTTCACTTCTTCTTATTACTATATATTTATTACGAAGTCATAATTTTAATAGTAACAATAGTAAATTAATTAAATATTTTATAAACAACAAATTAATCACAAAAGTAATTAACTACGTGATTGATAATATCACAAATAAATTATAAAGGATTAAAATATTAATTATTTTCATGTATATTAAAATATGCTAAACCTTGAAGAAATATTAATATTATGAAAATCAACCAACATAAATAGAATATCTTCAAAGGGTGAAATTTGATAGTTAATAAGAGCTATTTTAAAGCTCAGAATAGGAAGCAGTTTCTTAGAAACACTTCTCGTCGTCGACAATCGTTTTATTAAGATTAGCTTTATAGTATTTGTTAATAATCATATAAGACATTTACGATTCTAATAATCATAAGAATTGTGTTAATAAGTGTTGGAATTTATAAAACCTGCACAAATGAAGTGCCAAAATTAAATACTTTTTAACGTCTCAGCCTATATTAGACCTATATCGTCTTCAACCATGCTGAATATACCGGTTCTCGTCAGATCACCGAAGTCAAGCGTCATTGGGCGCGGCCAGTACTTGGGTGGGTGACCGCCACCTGCGTGCCGATGGCAAATTTGGGACCTGAATGGCCGAGCGTCTAGCGCCCTGGCGCTCGGTGCCACAGGTTTCGGGTTCGAATCCCGGCAGTGCCATGGAGGTTTGTAGTGGTTCGGAATCCACTTTAAGCCGTAGGTCCCGGTCTCCTATGACTGTAAGACCGTCACGGAGCAAAAGTTAGACTTCTACCTACGGGTGCTCCATCACAACAGAAGCTGCTTCCTTCTCCTTCAATCATGAGTACGTGGACTCGTGGGCTTGGCCAGTCAAGTGGGATAAGAAACAACAACAACAGAAGAAAGCCACTTTCAGATTCATGGGACCTTACTCATCACACGGCATTATACACGAAACCACAAGGATGCTGCAGCCATTCAGTCACTTCAGAGAAGAAAAACAACAATTCTGGTCGACTCGTCGCAAAACTCTCGCTCTCAGGGCAACGGGCAACGTACGTCCGGTTACGGAGTTCCTGTGTGGTTTTAAGAACCACTATACCTCCACATCTTACTTTAGTTAGAAAATTTGCACAAAATGAAGTTGCTTAAATTAGGGAAGTTGCTTAAATTAGAGATCTCTCTCTCAACTTCACCCAAAAACCTCCTTTTAAGACAATCCGTCACGGAGGAGGGGGGGAAGGGTATCAACTTACTACACTTCTTAGAGTAGACATTTCTCAGTTCGTGGTATAGCACTAATCCCGATGGAACAACTCACGGCGTAGTCCATATTCCATCTGTAGTTGTTTCGACCTGTGAAAGCCGCATAGACATTCGCTAATTTCCAGAGTCTCATTATATATGATATCGAATATCTGCTATTAGATTTGTGTGACAGATTTTTCTCATTAATACAAAACACTAATTGCGTGTATTATAACTACTCACAATAAAGCTCGTCTGCTGTCAAATTTGAGTGCTGGGTTCTTTATATACTTATCAAGTAACATGCATTCCTCTCTGCTGGGAATGAAATGCCAACATTCTTCCCGTGAGAAAAAAAATATCACAATTTTATTAACTTGATGAAAATCTAGACATTGATAAACAATAACATTATCAAAATCAGTAATGTTCACGTTAAATAGACATACTAAAACACAATAAATATTTATTTTAAAAATTGATAAATAATACTAATTTTAAATAATAAATAAATATTTTTTGGGGAAAACGTGTGAATTCTTTAGCTACAAATTACATATGTAATCGCTTTTAAATAGTTAGAAACATTGTTTGAAAAATCTGTAAACTTTGAGAACTCATAAATTATACAGCATAATAAGTAATGCACCTTTTCTAAACACGAAATGACTGCATACATTTTATCTTTTAAGTAGTTAGAAATATACTTCATCAAAAGTATTAATTATTTAAATCCGTGCACATCACTATACTCATTTCTGCCTTAATTATTATAATTCAACAAGCACCCAGTGGAAATGAAACCACCATGGGAAATATAATTGCGATAACTCTATCTTCACGAAACATTAATATGAACAGTTGATTCTCATTTGCACCCGTTAGGAACGATCTTAAGTTTCCCGCCATTTCCGCAAAACAAAGCAAGCCAAATCTCTTTTGCCCAAAAGGTTGACACTGATGTTCTTTTTAAAAGACATTAAACAAAATTATTTCGACCTTTAAAATATTCGTCCCCATTTTCCCCATTATGCTGCTCAGAAAACTTTTGAATTATTAAACAGAGAAAAGAAATTAAAAGATTCCAAGATGGTGGATTCTTCCTCCAGAAAATGGTTTGCTTAAAGTCATGGAATAAATGAGGTTATTTTTAACGTTTTTAAACTATACGAGCTTCGAAAACGTTCCGATATTCGTAATTGAAAGGCAATGAAGCGTTAGGAGTCGAAGCATCGCGGAAACAGCTGCCAAAGACAATCGGCTTTGGCGATTAAAATCGAATGTTTTCAAAATAATGATTAAACTCCTGCCCTTGGCGATTCTATCACTGTGCATTTTGGTCTTTATTTAAAACGTTTTAGATGGTATTATTCCTGAAGCAAACTAGAAGGTTATTTGAGTTATATGTCATGGATTTGCTAAAACTTTAAATGTGATTTTAAAAATGAAACGTTTTCAAAATGTCAAACTGTTAAATAAACTTAATACGCAACGCATTTGTGATAGATCAACTTCTTCAGGTATATTGAAAAAAAAAACTCAAATTCTTTATTTTAATTAAAACAACTCTTAATAAAAAATAATAATATTCCGATGATTTGGTTTGTCTCTCTACGGTCATTTTGTGCACACTTTAATTTAATTAGACAGGGAACTACAGTTTAACGTGTAGCTAACGTGTAGTAACGTAACCACTAATAAACATCCTTGCTACAGCCAAGATTCCAACTTGAAGGCTGTAGTACCAATGGTCTTGTCAATTCGCCATCAGGCCTCTGATAAATGATAACATCATGAAAATCAGTAATGTTTACGTTAAATAGACAAAAAACACATTAAATATTTATTAACAAAGTTGATAAATAATGTCCCTCATTAGCGCAGCAGCCTCATGGTGGGCCAAGGCCATCCGTGTAGCCGTAGATGAAGAAGCATGGGAGGGTTTTCTCTTTAAAGGGTAGCGGCGAAAGCCCTACGCTCTGCAGACATATTAGATCGGAACCTTCGATTTAAAATGGACACCGAATCACTACAAGCATCTATGGCACGGCCGGAACTCGGACAAAAAAACTTGTGGCATCGAGCGCCAGTCATTCGGTCATGAGGCCTCAACAAATAATACTAATTATAACTAATAAATAAATAATTTTTGTAATATGTAAAATCATTAGTTACAAATAAAATATTTAATCGCTTTAAATAGTATGTATATTGTCTGAATATTGAAAAAATCTGTAAAAATCTGTAGTCTGAAATATTGTTTTAAAAATCTGTAAATTTTGAGAACTTACAAATTAAACATATGTTAACCCAATAACCCATTGGGTACTGACATGTCTTCTAAATACGAAAGGACTGCATTCATTTTATCTTTCAAACAGTTAGAAATATACTTCACCAAAAGTATTAATTATTTAAATATTTGCAAATCAATGTACACATTTCTACCTTAATTATTATAAATCAACAAGTACCCATAGGAAATGAAATCATCCTGTAACTGCGACAAATCTATCTTCACAAAATATTAATATGAACAGTTGAATTCTCATTTGCACTTGTTAGGAACAATCTTAAGTTTCCCGCCATTTCCGCAAAACAAAGCAAGCCAAATCTCTTTTTCCCAAAAGGTTGACACTGATGATGTTCTTTTAAAAGACATTAAATGAAATTGTTTCGACCTTTAAAACATTAGCCACCATTTTCCCCATTGTGCTGCTCAGAAACTTTTGAATTATTAAACAGAGAGAATAAATTAAAAGATTCCAAGATGGTGGATTCTTATTCCAGAAAATGGTTTGCTTTAAGCCATGGAATAAATGAGGTTATTTTTAACGTTTTTAAACTAAAAGAGCTTCGAAAACGTTCCGATATTCGTAATTGAAAGGAAATGGAGCGTTAGGAGTCGAAGCATCGCGGAAACAGCTGCCAAAGACAATCGGCTTTGGCGAATAAAATCGAATGCTTTCAAAATAATGATTAAACTCCTGCCCTTGACGATTTTAGCACTGTGCATTTTGGTCTTTATTTAAAACGTTTCAGATGGTATTTCTTCTGCAGCAAACTAGGAGATTATTCGAATTATATATCATGGTTTTGATAAAACTTTAAATGTAATTTTAAAAATGGAACGTTGTTAAAATGTCAAACTGTGAAATAAACTTAATATACAATGCATGAGATAGATTAACTACTTCAAGTACATTGAAAAAAAAATGTAAACATTTGCTTTTTAATTAAAACAAATCTTAATGAAAAATAATTAAATTCCGATGGAGAACTATTTACTAGTAATTGTAAATAAAGAACTCCTTCTAAGTGTAAAATAAATTTTTGTATTTGTGATGAATGTAAATGTATTGCGCATGAAATATTTTCGTCAAATATTTACCAAAAAACATTAAAAAATAATGGCTTAATATATGGACAATATCTTTATATCTATATAATTTTTCTGTACATGTGTTTGTCACTGAGCTTCTGAACGGCTTGACCGATTTCGTGTGTGTCTGACAAAAACATGGAGAATGATTTTTTGCTACCCCCATTGTTGTAAATCACCTGATGGTGCTGTAGTATATCTACTTCTATACCGTTCAGCCAATCGCTGCGAAAATTGGTAATAATATGTATTCGAGTATGGAAAAAAGGTTCGCGTTATCCATGTAATATAACTACCGACAATACTGCTTGTCTAATGTCAAATTCGAGTGATGGATTGTTTTATATACTTGTCAAATAACATACATTCTTTTCTGCTCAGAATGAAATGCAAAAACTCTTCCCGTGAGAAACAAAATATCACAATTTCACTAACTTGATTAAAATCTAGATATTGATAAGCAATAACATTATCAAAATCAGTAATATTCACTTTAAATCGACACATAAAACACAAATATTTATTATGAAAGTTGATAAATAATACTAATTTTAAATAATAAATAAATAATGTTTTTTTGCGAAACGTGTAAATTCTTTAGCTACAAATTACATATGTAATCGCTTTTAAATAGTTAGAAACATTGTTAGAAAAATCTGTAAACTTTGAGAACTCATAAATTATACAGCATAATAAGTAATGCACATTTTCTAAACACGAAATGACTGCATACATTTTATCTTTTAAACAGTTAGAAATATACTTCATCAAAAGTATTAATTATTTAAATCCGTGCAAATCACTGTACTCATTTCTGCCTTAATTATTATAATTCAACATGCACCCATGGGAAATGTAACTGCGACAACTCTATCTTCACGAAACATTAATATGAACAGTTGATTCTCATTTGCACCCGTTAGGAACAATCTTAAGTTTCCCGCCATTTCCGCAAAACAAAGCAAGCCAA